CAGCGTGGTGGATGGAAACATTTGGTCAACTTGTTAATACTACTCTAGCTTCTTGTGGCCACTAGCTGACCAGCTGATGTCCTGATTGGTGCCGACAGCTGGTCACTTTATCAGGGTATAGCAGCTATATCATCAGGCTCTACATGCAGCAATTTCTACATTTACACACACTCCCACCAGGGGGCACTTAGGACACCAGCATTGAGTAGAAACTTGTTTGTATTTCATTGATATTAATCTCCGTAGGAACCTGATTATTTCATGGGTCATGCTGGACCTGTATTGAAGGCCAGCGGCTGTTGTGTTTCTCCTGTAGGCTGAGGATTGGGTCATGTACAATAGTTCTAGATGCACATATGACAGCTTGGAGGTTAGTTTGTTTTTCAATCTTTATGATGTGTTCTACATGTATTCATTTAATAATAATAATCATGAAATAAAATTAACAGTTACAATTTTGTTCAATACTTTTTACCATAAAGTTCAAACAACAATGAAAACATTTTAGGAATTTTTAATGAGTGATTTGTTATAGCATATCTTTTGAGGAAATGATTCATCTACATCTAGAACTGGCCAGATTCCATAGAGTTCCGAGTGTCTTCATTTATCTTCCATTATCTCCTCCCAGTTAATTGCTAGGCACATATCACAGTGATTGCCCAGTTCTATTGACATGGCCCAAGGCCACGCCCTCAGTCTCACATGTAAATCTCAATAACTGAGGTATTTAGTTTCCAATATTGATAAGACTTGACATGTGGTTTCATCCATTTCATTAGCCTGGCATGAGGCATTCTCAAGTGGGCAGAGAGCCCTCTGTCTTCCGACAGTTGTAATCCTTCTTGGGAGGGGGTCAAACAGAAGAGCGAAGGGGCACCTGTCCATCCTAGGGGTCAGTGGGAGGAGAATGGAATGTCCAGTGGTGTTGTGTGTGAAAGGGAATGAGATCCAGCTGAGAATGTATTGTAGTCGGACAGTCACAAAGGTTAGGGGCAGTCTGTCAGGACAGGAGGGATTTGGGTAGTCTGTCCTAGTTACAACTTGACCAGGACTTGGTAGGAGATAAAAGGTGAGATTGATTAAGACATTCCTTGTTCCACACATTCTAAACATTCTTAAATGAATATGTTCTTCAAAGTAAGGAGAGTGTGAAAGGTGAATACTTTGTGGTCAAATAAATAAAAAGAATAGTTCCTCCTAACTTTTTGTATCCAAGCGTTTAATATTTCACGCGGAATGCAGTTAGATTGTCCACAGTGTATGGATTACCTCTCTCCGTCTCAACCCTTAATACTGCAGCAGAATAGATAAAACTGTCATAAAGCCCTTGACTATAACTGATAGACCTGGATCCCATTAATTCATTAATATGTTGCCTCTGGGGATGGGGTTGTATTGTCCATGTACTAAATGTTGCATCTAGGGATGTAATCAGTGACAAGATGGATTAGGGCCGGGTTGAGAAGCCAGTCCCTGTAGTGTTATCACTGGGAGATGGATGTAAGACTTCCACTTGGTCCAAGGGATGGTTATGCAACCCTGTGGGTCAGGTATGTGTACAGTACCAAGTTATTGCCCCCTGACGTAACGGCTAGGTTGGGTTGTTGTGGACATTGGGGTCTTAGTGGCAAGGAGGTTACTCGCAGATCGAGTTGTGGGATCAAACGGTCAAACAGGATGTTTGGGTATTCTGGTTGTTGTGCATAATGTTCCGGTATGTAACTGTCATGTTCTGTGATGTTTCTGTGTTGTGTCATCTATTGCAGTTTGTGTAGTGGAATTCAGAACTAATCTGAGTAATCTACATCGAGTAATGTTTTGAGTAATCTTTTAATATATGTCTGATTTGTATTTCATAGGTAGTTATTATTTCATAGTTTTGACACCGTCTGTCCTGTTATTTATGTTCCATACTGTGAGTAGCTGCAGAACTGCTGATGCAGCATTAAACAGTCCACCCTGTCTCAGTGCCTTGTACCGGCCCTGAGTGTCTGTCACTGCCTTGTACCGGCCCTGAGTGTCTGTCACTGCCTTGTACCGGCCCCGAGTGTCTGTCACTGCCTTGTACCGGCCCCGAGTGTCTGTCACTGCCTTGTACCGGCCCCGAGTGTCTGCCACTGCCTTGTACCGGCCCGAGTGCTGGCACTGTGCACTAGTGGCTGGAGACACTCATGGTGCCTCTATATCAAATGACAGCAGGATTTATGTAAAGACCGACATTCTTTTTCTTTAATGTGGGGCAAATATTGTGTGCAATAGTGGTGTAGAAAGGCTTCATTCCTCAATCTTTTATGAAAGCTCTTGAAACAAGAAATGTTTTGCGATAATGTTTGTGGTTATATGAGAATAGTGTGTCAGTCTGATGTCCTAGTGTATGATGTGAACAGACAAGGCACACAATGATAGAGGGCTGAACCCACAGGCTGAGATTACCATGGGTGTTAACCCTTGATCTGCCGTTACCCAGCCTACCATCTAGCTCCAGTGGGTGGGGGGGGAGTGTTAACTCTACAAAATGGTACTGACAACAGTGTAAGGTAAACATTTCATCAGCAACACTCTGCTTCCACTGATTCGTGAGGAATTCAGTAATATTTGACTGTTTTGTGGTTTGTGCCATGTTATCATATGGTTAGATGTTCTGACTGGAGAAAAGTGGTCTAATTAGATCTGGAAGTTATTAAGTGGAATAAACCTGTCCAAGACAATCCTTCCCTGAGAGCACAGCTCCTGATTACATGGCTGGTCCAGCCCGGGTCCTCTAATGCGGACATTACAGGCATGGATGAGCTAATGTAGACTAGGATAATAATGGCAGACCAGGTTGGTTAGCAGTTAAATGTCAGAAGCATTAGCTGGAGTACCATCTACACCAGTATGGCCATGTCGGGATACCTCCAGTGTGTTGCCCTTTCAGTGCTTGTGATCATGTTGGGCAGTTGTCTACCTGTGCTTGTCCATGTGAAGATGTTTTGTTGCAGCTTTTGAGGAAAGAAACATGATGATGATGATGATGATGATGATGATGAATTAAGACATTATGCATTATGGTAGTGTGGAGTTAATCTTGGATTTCAAAGTCAGTGCCTGTGACATGCTTATTGGAAAAAAATGTGATGTTTTTCAAAATTGGATAATTTTAATGTTATTTTTGTAAATTCTGAGGAATTTGGAAAATTTTAACTCAAATTGTGAATATTTGGAATCATTTGCTGCAGAGTTGGGTCTGAATATCAGCCTTGGAGCAGGTTTTGATAAATCCCTGTACCCTGACATCCGACATCCGGATGATACCACACTGTCTGTCCTGACCACTTGCAGGCCTACCAAAGAAAACTTTCCCACTGTGCAGAAAAACGCAGAAAAGCCCACATTAATCGTGGAAATAGCAACATAAACACATTACCTCGCTACTGAAAGAGTAAAAACGGCAACTTTAAATCGCTAACACTGCATCATAAAACGAGGAGACCGCAACCTCGATTTTGCGCATGCGCACATGGAAGAGGAAGTCTCGACCGCATGTTGACATTTTCCAGCTTGGACAAATGTTACATTACTTTTTAAGTATTTCTGTTGTGTTATTTGGCATTTATCATCATGATACTTGTGTGCACACTTGTTTAGTTTACGTTTCATTCGTATGAAACGATTGACAGCAATTATATCGACATATTTAATACTTTTTCTATGCGAGGCGATTCACGGTTGCTCAGAATTTGGAAAGACGCCCGGATCGTAATGCGCATGCGCAGTAGAGGTCAAAGTTCACTGATACAAAAAATGTTGCAGTTTCATGGTTTTTCGTTGCCGTTTTTACTGTTTCAGTAGCGAGGTAATGTGTTTATGTTGCTATTTCCACGATTAATGTGGGCTTTTCTGCGTTTTTCTGCACAGTGGGAAAGTTTTCTTTGGTAGGCCTGACTTGGGCCCTCTTGACTGACCAGTGTTTATTTGTAAAGAATCTCATTCTCCTACACAGCTGACTATGTCTGTCATATCCGGGAGATCATTTAACTGATTCAGTTTCTGTCCCGCCTGGCCTGTTTATTTAGCCCGATCTCTCACCCCATCTTCCCAGCATGAAGGCAGGCAGCTATTGTGGAGAACAGCATCACTGTGAGCACTGGTCCCAAGACGATGCCAGTGTATTTGTAAACCCACCTCATCTCACGAAGGTCTAACACAAGAAACATGGTCAAGGGAAGACACGGCATTATAAATATTGGTCATGTGACCTCATCTGAAAATCAAAAGCTATTGTAGAAAGCCTCCTAACTTGTCACTGTGTCCAACGGCACAGGCTATAAAATGAGAAATGATTGGGATTGAGTCGTCCGACCTGATGAGCAGCATATCTTGTCATGTAGCCAGGCACACGGCCATGAGTGAGAGGCATGTGGTTATATGTTCGCCTGAGCTTCCCCTTGGTGCGTAACCATGACAAACATTTCCTTTTTTGACTGCACGATGCCTGCACACTCAGTAAGTAGGGTTTGGTCTGCCTCCGCGGCAGCTACTCGTAACATTGAATGTCGACATCTGGCCAGATGTACGCCTGCCGCATCTGTTCTTTTGACGTCTGCTCTTTCCCGCTCTTTTTCTGATTGACTTCTTGGCTCCGGTGAGGGAAGAGCCTGAGAGGGGGTGCCTTTTAGGTTGCAACGCAATGTCATTAAAATACAGAGGAAGTTGATGCCAGTGAAACGTGATACGATAGTGTCAGCTTCACTTTAAAGATATTAGTGTGTATCATGCTGGCTTTTAATCGGGATGGGACGAAGTGCTGTGATTTAGATTAACTTTCTTTTCCATTGCATCAGGTGAAAGAAGCAGAATTTGTTCGTACAGTCAGGAGTGTTTGTGTTATGACTGGAAGGCTTCACCCTACAGATTCCTGATCAATGTATTTGACTAACATGCACAATTCAACTGTTTCCGATTTGCCATTTCTTGGCAGCCTTTTGTCTGTATTAACGTGGGTCTTTGTGTTACAGGTGATCTTGTGATGTGCTGAGCAGGACTGAGTGAAGGATACACACGATTCTGCATCCAGGATATGCTGTAACGTCTGACACAATTTGTGGATTACTACTATGACAAAACATCGCTGTGAGTGTCGGAGTATCGCCGTCAAGTACATGTGTGGTAGTGCGGCAGTGAGCAAGATGGCCGTGGTGTTTGTGTTGGTCAGCCTCATGCTGGCCAGTGTGGGACATTGTAGTATAAGTGTGGTGGATTCTAACGATATTTGGGGAATAAGTAGCCATGGATCTAGAACTGGTGACGACTCATCGGTGTCGCTGATGTGGGGTGTTGCCGATACGACAGCCTCAGTCGGACACTTCTTCAACTACACCATTCCACAAGATGCTTTCAAAGGAAACGGCCTCCAATATAAAGTAAGTCATTTTCTTTAAAATTATCAATTTCCATAATAAAACGGTGTATGATATAGATTATAGTGTCTGCAACTAAGTGCTGCAAAATTCTTCAGTTACATTAACTATTTTCGTAAGAAGATATCTGATTTGTTACTACTAAGTCTCTCATAAAACGTATCTTATAATTCATGCAGCTGTGAGCTGTGCTCTTAATTTGTTCCCTGAACTAAAGAACCTAGATATAATTTCGGCATGCTGGGTATAAATTGTTTGACCTTCCTGACCTGGTTTTGATAAACCTGGGAGAGATACCTCTGTTCCTGGAGTTGGTTAACTGGGACTCAGTGTGGTGTGTTCAGTGCCAGCCAGCCCTGTAACCCCTCCCCATGCATGTCACCCTTCCCCATGCATGTCACCCTTCCCCTGGAACAACAACAGACTTTGTCCACATTTCTTGTAAAATTATTGCAAAGGGAAGAGTGGCCACCCAAACTGAAACATGTACCATATTTATGACGGATCTAGTTCTCGTTCACTGATTCATGCTTGTCTGGTAGGGTTGTTGTGTGGAATGTAAGATAAAATATATGTGATTCCAAAGGCATAAAAGAACAGCCAGTCTTTTTGTCCTTGTGACTAAAGCTTATCCGTCTTGCCATGGCAGGTCAGCTTAGGCATAGTCCTTTGGATTTTCTTTTTTTTTAAACTTTTTTTTGTTTATTAATCAATGAATATGATTTATCCTGTTAGATAAGATAGATGTCACATCGGCAGTATTCCGGTCATAGTGTGACTTGCATATGTGACAGTGTGTGGTTCTAGGACAGGACGTGACTTGCATATGTGACAGTGTGTGGTTCTAGGACAGGACGTGACTTGCATATGTGACAGTGTGTGGTTCTAGGACAGGACGTCACTGGCTGTAAACAGATATATTTATTTTGAAAACAAGTTGTAGAATACTGATGATGCCGATATACAGTACAATATTCCACCAAAGTGAGGCGGCCATGTTGGGAGCTGGGTGACTATCTGTTGTACAACAGCAATATTCTGAAATGTCACTATGGAAACTAGTCAGATTTACAAACAGTTAATATATTTACTAAATACTTTGTCTGTCACTTATATCAATTAACTCGATATTGATTTATGTCCAGTGTAATCAAGTATGTCGGATAGTGACAGAGACATTTATAGGCTGACACAGAGGATAGCATTTAGTCGTAAGACTACAGCAGATGCCAGCCATTATTTATAAACTTCAGCTACACACTGACCGATGACTTATTGTAGTAACAGAAACATGTATTATGGTTTTGTAAAGTCAACTTGAAGTTTGTTGATAGGACCAATAAAGAAGGCTTTATTTTAAATTACTTTAACATCTTAAATGATTTTACCTCTAAATGTAATTCAAATTTGAAGAAAACAATATTGTTTCCCAGTTTGCCTGTTCAGGGTACTCAGTCCAGAATCTTGACTAGATCCCAGCTATGTGTTTATTGTGTTAGGAAGTCAGGACAACCTTGGAATTTATGTTAAAGGGATTCTTGTCATGACCCTTGATTCAAATACAGTAGAAGACCTTGTATTTTGAGACTCTGTATCGTATAGGAAAGATGGTACTATGAGTGTGAAAAGTAAGATCTACTTGAAATGTTAACGAAAGTATGGGGATCTCCCTGTCATTGGTGGCTAAATTGGTTTTTCCGTCTTGAGTTCTGTGAGATTTCTAAGCTTTCTTATTCTACAAAACAATCTTGCAGATGAATAAATACTGTGTTTAACTGCACCCTGTGCCATGATATTTTTTCTTCAGATCCATATTTGGTCATCACTTTTGACTTCCTTATGGGTGTTAGCCTAGTTGCACGTGCTATTGACCGTGTGAAGATCGATAAGTCACGTCTTTATCCACGCTTTCCTCACAGCGCTGTCGGTGCCAGAGATGGACTTGGCTGTCAGGGGAGAGGCGTTGTTGTGGTTCATGGGTGCCACAGATTAACTCTTGTAGTATGACAGAATAAAGTACATTTTAGCCTATTTTATTTATTCGTACCTGTACTACATGAAGCTAGTGGTAAGAATACATGATCTACGCTTGTGTAACTTGTCTTCCTCGTACAGGGTCGGCATCTTTCAAACAGCTTTTGTACCTGTTTATGTCGATTGTTGAGCACTGGTCAGAAATACCATCAGCACCATGTTCCGACCGCTTCAGTATTGTAGTAAATGAACCATTATTTAATAATCTCAAGCTGAACATTTAATAAGTTCCAGAGAGTTAGTAAACCACAATATTTGACCTTCAGGTCGTATCTTGTGAGATGCAATACATTGTATTCAACCTTTTCGATGAACCAAAATGAGCACCGTTTTTTATCTTGTAACGTGGGCACATGGTTAGATTCCACAGACTGGTAGTGTTAATAAAACATGGAACATATTTAGGCCTCTTGTCTTCATCCTGATACATATTCGGGTGCATACATTAATGATTGTGAGACATGATACAACGCTACAGCGTGGGTTCAGCTTCCACAAATGTCAGAAATAATTGATGACGTGTCACCAGGATCATGTTTAATTAAACAAGCAGTTCTGTAAGCCTTTGTTCGCTTTTGTAAAGTTGGATGAACTTGGTTTGATCACGAGTACGTTCATTATAGTCATCATCACAATGGCATTTTGTTCATTTTGTGTGAATCGTCTCGAGTTTATTCATAACCGAACGCAACAGCTGGCCAGTGTACACAGCACAGGAAACTGATCTGTCACAAAAAAATATGTGAGAATTATCACTGGTGGGCGTATGATAACAAGTATATATTAGTGGACTGCTTAGTTTTTTTTTCATTTTCTGTACTTGCAAATTAGTTGGGAATCTTTCATTTATTTGTGGCTATTTTTTGGTATTGTAGACTAGGGTTTTTCTTTAGATCTGTATGGTATGGAAAATATTTCATGATCCAGGTATTTTTTCAGTATATTATCTGAGACATCCTAAAATATTGCTGACAAACCTACCTATTGTACGCAGATGTACTGTACAGGACTTGCCGACCTGACCGGCTGGTGTTATCCCATTTGTTTTGGTAGATTTGTTTTGACTAAATGAGCAGTTGAGCCTAAAATTGGTGTAAAAGTTGGATGGCTTTCCTGTCGGTCTCCCCCTACTTGCACGCAATCGTCAGCCACTACATAATATAGGTTCCCCAGTTTAATGAGCCACTAGCCTTTATGTGAGATTTGAAAGTGTTGTTTGTAACTGCAGTCAGTATACTCCCCTGTGTCGGGGCAGGAGGGACACATCTATGTGTGGGTAGTTAAGCCCTGTGACTACTGCCCCCTGTATTATCCAGCATGGTTGTTCCAGGCTCACTATATTGTAGGACACTGTATTCATGGTAGTCCTACATTCAATAAGGTCAAGGTGTATTGTATTGACTGGGTGTTGTGTATGGGAGATGTTTTGTCATTTCTGTATGTTTGTGTACAATCTTTATGTACAATCTTAGTTTACAGTCACCTGTATATATGAATTGACAAGGGATTGGTATTTATTTATCTCAGTGACTATGTTGTCTAGATCTAGTTTGGGCAGCCAGCGGACAGTGTTTTTGACACTGTCTGGGGTTTCGCTTGTACTGAGGTGTCAACACTGCAGATCCTGGGCCATCAGCAGCCAGGAATGTCCCTGTCCTCATATTCCTGTAGCATCTTGGTGACCTGTATGCAAGGTAGTTAGTTCCAGCAGTTTTTGTTAGGGTTATGGTAGACTAGGATGTACAACATCTTTGGTCCATGGTGAACATTGATCTCTTAACTGGTATGAACCAAAGGTGAAGCTTGATGTAGGATCATGCATCTCCTGGAGCTGCTGCTGTTGCTGGACAAGGACCTGAAATATACTGATTCATACGCTCAGTCAACAATCACTAACTCACTTATTGAAAACAGAAAACTCCTGCTGCTGGTCAGGGGGCAGTTCATGGGGGAGTGTTGCCTAGTTGTATGTGACAGGTCTGCAGTAGGGCATGGAGTTGTGGAGGGAGGTGTCCAACAGACGGGCTGGCAGGCACTGTCCATGACACACAGACCTTCCGTGACATCTGAGAAAACCAACAAGTTTTTGAAGCTGTAACTGGTGCAGATAATTGGTTGAAGCCTGGAGCTGGTTCTTGAAACGGTCCCCTGATAGCCGAGATTTAGTCTGGATGGGGGACTGTGACTGTAATTTACTAGGAGTTTCTACATTCTGATCATACCAGTCAGTGTTGTGTTCTCAGGTTATTAATAGGGCAAGGACACTTGGACCCAGGAGGACCCAAGGGAGGTAACTAAAGGTTTAGAAAGGAGATACAGGCCTTGGAGAGTCAAGGCCAGTGTGAACTGGCAGATGGGTATATGAACATTAGGGTTTTCATTAATCACTGGTGTTTTTTGTAATGCTGGTTACAGATTCAGATCCAGGTTCATTCTGGTTATTGTGTTTGGTACCATGCTGTTTGGCTTCACTAAGGTAGGAGCTGCCTCCTCCCCCTGGAGCTGCCATGCTAGCATTTCAATACTGTGTTCAGTGACACCTGACGGCACAATTCTGGGGTCCTCTGGGCAGAACTTAACAGACAGTGTTTATCCTTTAGCACTGGGAGACTGCTCTTCTCTTACCTTATAAATCAGATCCTCAAACACTGTGTGGAGGCTTATCTGACATTTCTGAGAGCATGGAGTGCTGGCTATTTGTAGCTGTAAGTGTATCAGCATCCCTGTCTCACTCACTGTCTGGGGGAGGTGTCTGCTGTCGTTGACACACCCTGATGCCCACCCACGGGGAGATGTATCCCCCCTGCCGGACACTAGGTCACTGGGTTCAGAATAACACCCCCAGTCCCTGTCACAGTGGTGTACACATGTACCCACCCATATAAATCACCACCCTGAAGATCTGACCATGTACTCCCCCATCCCAGTGACTGACACCCCCCAGGGTCTACCTGTATCAAGGGGAGGGT